TTGATTGATTGATTGATTGATTGAATGAATGAATGAATGATGAATGAATGAATGAAGACTGACTGAGTGACTGAATGATGAGTTAATGAATGAAGAATGAATGAATGAATGAATGATGAATGAATGAATGAAGACTGACTGAGTGACTGAATGATGAGTTAATGAATGAAGAATAAATGAATGAATGAATGATGAATGAATGAATGAATGCATGAAGAATGAATGAATGAAGAATGAATGATGAATGAATTAATGAATGATTTCCTTAGAAATGAACCTTATGCTTTATAAGCAGTGTGAAGGTTTTGAATTTGCTCTTTCCCAATAAAACTTTATTCTTAACGAACATAGTGAAATTAAAATTCCTTGGTATTCACTGCTCTTTTTGAATCGGTGGAGCTTGTAAAAATTACAAACTTTTCCAGAAGCGTGAGGATATTCCTGTCAATTTTTTAAAGCCAGGATTTGCATCCCTGATAGCTCAGGCATACTTTTTTCCGGGAGGGAAAACAGACTCAAAGGTGTTAGCTCCCTGTGTGGAAGAATTATTTTTTAACAAATAAGGAAGTGGAATACCATAATTGTAAGCCTCTCTAGCAATTTCTCCCCTGCTTCCAAGTAAGGCTGAACCTCCTGGCACCCTAGGTTTGCCCAGATGTGAATTTTTTATTCTTTCCCTCTATTTATTCCAGCTGGAATAGGAAAAGGATCAATTTCGATCTTCTTTCTTAAAGCCCAGAAGTCCCAACGTAACAGCCTTCTGCCAATTCTGCAGCAGAAGGAAGGTAGCTAAGCAACCTTGTAGCCTTCCGCAGGGAGATTGTGATAATGCAGGTTTCAATCCAGGTATCTAGCTATAAAAAGGCATTTGTGGAGCCAATGGGAATATAAGGGAGAGAGAAAAACAAGGGAAGGCAACAAGGGACCTGCACAAATTCCAAAATCAACAGAGTTGGCCTAACTAAACTAGTTATGTTATCTCCTTAACGCCTTCGGATTTGGTTTATGTTCCTTCTGTCCTGCATAAAAATGCATAAAGAGGAATAATCCAGGCTTCCTGTTTGGATGTTAATAGTCTTCCTCCATTCCATTCCACTCCATTCCTCCTTCCCTCCCTCCCTCTCTTTCCTCCATCCTTTCCTTCCATACATCCCTTCCTTCCCTCCCTTCCCTCCCTCCTTTACTTCCCTCCCTCCCTTCCCTTCCTCCTTTACTTCCTTCCCTCCCTCCCTCTCTTCCTTTCATACAGCCTTTCCTTACCTACCTACCTCCCTTCCATACATCCCTTCCCTTCCTCCCTCTCTTCCCTTCCTCCTTTCCTTCTATACATCCCTTCCCTTCCTCTTTTCCATACATCCCTTCCTTCCTTCCCTCCCTCCCTCTCTTCCTTCCATACATCTCTTCCTTCCCTCCCTCCCTCCCTTCCTTCCATACATCCCTTCCTTCCTTCCCTCCCTCCCTCTCTTCCTTCCATACATCTCTTCCTTCCCTCCCTCCCTCCCTTCCTTCCATACATCCCTTCCTTCCTTCCTTCCCTCCCTTCCTTCCATACATCTCTTCCTTCCCTCCCTTCCTCCCTTCCTTCCATACATCCCTCCCTTCCTTCCTTCCTCCTTTAGACAAATCCTGTCTAAACATCTGGCTGACTATGTGACCAACCACAATCAGGTTAGGGATAAAACCAACAAGGATGAAGTGAGTTGCTCTAGGTGTGTTTTCGCGATATCCCTTCTATGTACATGAGAAGACCTTTTGCAGTGCCTGAAAAAAATGGGGGTGCGACATTTAAATCTGTCAGTGAGATTTTAATGGTGTAGAGAAGAGTTGAGTTGAGTAGAGTAGGATACGATAGGAATAGGAGTGGAATGGAATGGAATGGAATG